GGCTTCATAAGAAACTATTTGGAATTCCGTACATTAAAACTCGGCATAATTCAGTGTTTGTAGTAGTTGCATGAACAATCCTTTGCGGGATTGGATTTTTTTTATAGTGGAAATGCGCAACAATTAGTAATGCGTCTAATAGAATCAGGACATCCTATGCACAAGTAGAGGATGAACAGCCATATTTTCAGGAAAAAAAAAAACACCCCAGGAAAAATTAGCTTCCTCCAATACAGCCATACAGGCAAAAGGTTCATTGCAGAGGAAGATGAAACCCTAGTTAAGAATACCTATCCAACCATAGTGATAACAATATACCTTACAGGCAAGTAGATCCTAACTATTACCATAAACAAAGTTCTAAGCCACTCTGTACAAACTTCAAGCCAGAACACTTGTACATAATGCGCCACTTCCAAATACAATATACTGCAGTCTAAGCTGACCTCTCTAAAGCCTCTAAGGACTTCAAGTTGAAACTTCATGTCTTGGTTCTCTCAAGTACCCAAGAAGTGTCTCACACTGTAAAAAGAACCCAAAAAAGTAGAAATTTATAATCAAGATCAAGTATTTGAGAAAATTTCTTGAATAGGAGTAAAACTTAGAAAATAGGATGATCAATGTTTTCTTTCTAAAATGAGACATATTCACACCTAATTAGAAAAGTTTTATGCTTTTCATAAAATCAAATAAATTAAGTTTTATGCGTGACTATCTTAAGAATAAAATATAGTTACTCCTATTTGTACACTTTGGGCATGTTTTACTACTATTTGGACATTAAGTTGTTTAATCACTCGTGTTACCTGGGTTATTATTTGGTTCAATTAAAAAGAAATAGCACTTCTAGTACCATTGTTTCTAGATACTAATATGGTTCTCGTTTAGAAATGCAACCATTTTAAGCGAATCTGCCCTTTTTGAACAAGTCAGATGGTCCCGAAGTTTTTTTCCCCAAATTTCCGTGACTATAAGAAGAGAGGGTATGAGTTGAGATTTGAGAATATAATAGTCCGTATGCATTATTATGAAAGCAATGCAGGCCAGAAATGTACAGCTTGCAGGCACCCAAAGAAAAAATAACACAAGGGAAAAACGTGCACACATATGATAGACATAATCGATAAACGGACCACCGAAGACAACATTTATTTGGTATTCAATAAAAGTTGCACAAACAAAATTACATCATTATCAAGATCACGCATTTCATTTTCCCACTTTCAGAAACACATATACCACCAATTGATAGGTATAGATTGGCGTATGTTTCAGTTTGTATTTTCCAAAATCATTTCTTTTGCTTATCCTAACCAGCCAATACCAGGAATATGACTACCTATTAAAAGTTAAAGGATAAAAGTTCAAGATACGCGCTTCTGAGCATCAAACATCAATAAAATCGTTTAAGAAGATGCTCTAAAGATTTAAAGTATAACACCATCTCCCATAAAAAGTGGCTTGTTTGATATCACGGTACAATTTTTAAATTTCTGTAACCAACAAGTTTGAAAAAATAAAACAAGTCAATATATAATAAACCCTACTTAATACTTTTGCAATTATTTGTGGCTTTAACTCAACTATAACACATACTCCGTATGTCTCTCGCTTGTTTTGGCAAATAATATGAAAAGTTGAGACAAATTATATGAAAGTTGACTTTCATTGATCAAACAGGACTCTTTCCCGGGAGTTACTGCATAATACTCAGAGATACTTTGTAAAATTTCAACTTCTAAACCACTAAATTTTGATATCATATTAGTATATTACTGTGATTGTCTAAGTTGTTCAATAGCAATCTTCAAACTACAGACTAAGAATTCTAAGATCTCACATTAACACAAGTTCACATAACAAGGGTACAATGAGAACAAAACACACTTGCAGTGACTCTGGTGTCGCCAATCATTGATAGGCATTGTAAACCCGCCCACTTGTGGCGGTGAACACTATCGCCTTCACAACTTATAGACACGAATCAAGGATCAGTAAAAAGGACTCATCTTTTTTCATGGTAAATCATACATCAGCAACTAATCAAGAATTCAATGAATGATCAAACTAAAAGGCAAAAAACAAGGCTAACCTTGTGCTTAGCTTTAGCAGTTCCATTCTGGGACAAGGCCACAAGAGGAGGAATTCCACCTTCTCTAACAAGCAAAACCCTGTTCCTAACATTATCCAAACACAATTGGAGAAGTGTCACCACGGCGAATTCCTTCCCTTTATCAGAACCGTCCTCGATAACCTCCACAAGAGCGTTCATCCCTCCTTCCTCCACGATCGCATCTCTTCCGATTTCGATTGCGGCAAGGCTAGACAACACCGCCATAGCTTTCTCTGCAAGCCCGTTACCATTCACTCCCACCATCTCCACCAACGGCTTCACTGTGCCTGCAGTTACAGCCCTCTCCTTGTTCTGTTTCACTGAACAGAGCTTGTAAAGTGTGGTTAATGAGTCTTTCTTGCCGCGATTCGATCCGTTGATCAGAAGGGCCACCAATGGCGGAATAGCACCACAAGCGCCGATAGACAGCTTGTTTTCGTCAACCAAAGCCAGGCTCAACAGAGCACAAGCTGCGTTCTGTTTGGAGATCTCCGTTCCTGTTTTTAGCACGTAAATCAGTGATTTTATAGAACCAGAATCCGTGATGACGGCTTTGTTAGGCTCATGAAGAGAGAGGTTTAGAAGGCCGGTAACAGCATGCTCTTGTGTCCAGGGATCGGAGCATCGAAGAAGAGGGACAAGTGCAGGAATCGCACCGGATTCTCCGATCAAAGCCCGATTTTCAGCTCGATTCTTCGCTAATAGCCTCAACTTCGCCGCCGCAGACCGCTTAACAGCTACAGATGATGATTTCAAACCCTCTATGCAGAGATTCACGGTCGGATGAAGATCCTCCGGGGATATGTTGTCGATTATTTCCGTCGAAAACGTCTCCCTCTGCAGAAACCCTAGACATGGCTCGGGTTCGGGTTCGGGCTGGGTGTCCAGATTCGGGCTCTCAACCGGATCGGCAGTCGCTAGCCGCTGCAGCTCACCGGAAATGTCACTACTACAAGCAGAGAAATCACTGAACGCATGTGAAATCTCCAAAAAATCGACTTCCGAAAAGGAGGACTTTAATACGGCGGGTTTATTAGCGAGCTCCCGGAGCCGCATGTCGACGACGGAGTCCGTCAGGTTCTCCGATACGTCGCCGGATAGTTCGGAAGCGGCGCATCCGCTCTGGTAGAGATTCGACCTAATAGTGCGCATGGAACGGCCAACGGAGCGGTGGGGTTTGGAAGAAGATGGCGGCGGAGTGGGGTAGCAACAAGACCGCGTTTGGGTGAAGCTATCTGCGCTGGAACCGGCATGTGACAAAGAATCCTGAAGCGAAACCATTCTGAAAGCCGGCGATTCAGTGATCGATTCCAATTGGGAATGAAAGATCAACCATAGCACGCCAACAAGGACTGCAATTTTTATAGCTATACGATATCACTGATTCATAATAATTGCGAAGCAGGAAAAGAATCGCAGCGTGGTGGAAAGGCACGGGGGAGTGGACACTTCTTAAGACGTCGCATCATTTGTATGTGACCTTTTATGTAAGCTTCAAAAAGTAGGATAAAGCTCTTAAGAAACCATGAAAATGGCGGAGTTACTACATTGGATTGGATGAATAGAGAGAAAGTAAATCAAGTGGATTCAGGCGTAGCAAATTGAGAGAGCCGGTAGATGTTTTTTTAGGGAATTTTTCACAAATATACCAAACACCAAAAATAATATCACTTTTATCACCCTTAAATTTTCTTTTCAAAAATAGGCTTGCGAAAGCGTTCTTTTCATAAATAGACCTGCTCATATAAAATCCACTTACTTAAAAAGTTAAAGGCCGAAGGTCTAATCCTCACACCGGGAACTCCCGGAAGTGCTACGTAAATAGATTTTGAATACGGAGTATTAACTTTAGGTTCCTAGCTTGAATACTTCGTATAGCAAGTACTGGATTATTTGTTTTTATATAAAATTTCATTAAAATTTAAAATATGATAATAATTAGGAAAAGAAAAAATTAAAAAAAAAACAAGAAACTGAAATCTAAATTAAAACGGAAAGAAAACCTCAAACTCAAAAATAAAAAATCAATAATTGCATAATAAAAATGAAAATTTTGAAACTTGTGAATCAAGTTTTAAATAGAAAAGAATGCAATTTAAGTTTTGAAAAATAAATAAGGAAAATGTAAAATTAAAAAATAAAAAATTGAAAAAGAAGTTACAAATTTAAAGTCAGTCTTAAATGTGGGAAAACTGTAAAAAATACAATTTCTTACGTAACATTCTCAAAGAGTTAAATAAATTATATGAAAATATATTGTCAAAAATACAAATAAATTTGAAAGTTTTATACAAGGGTCTAAAATATGGTTAAATACCCTAAAACTTACAAAATATAAGGAGAAAATCTAAAATAAGGGGAAAATCTTTTAAAATTATTAAAATATGAAAAGTATCTAGAAAGTTTTATGAGAGTAATTTTCCAAATCCGAATAACGTATAGAAATAAAACTTTAAAAACACATAAAATTTGAAGAAAACTAAAAAAGTTCACATTAAACTTTATAAAACAAAATATAATTGAAGAATAGAAATCTTAAATTTTATAAACTAATAAAATTAGTATAAATAAAAACATTTTAAAATAAAAAAACTATAAAAATTAAAAAAATTTAAAAAGTAAACATATTATAATTTTAAAAGTGGAAATAAATAAAAATATGAAGCTTCTAATTTAGTTTTTCAAAAAATATTATTTTTGTGGCATATTGTTTCCATGTGTTTCTTTTTGTTGATAACTTTTATTTTGTTGTTTTTTGTTGTTTCTCCATGCTTCTTGTTGTTGCTTATATTCATAAACACAATTTTATAATTTTATGTATACACACACAGATGGTTTTTTATTTTAAAAAAGTAGCAGAGATAAGTAGAAAACTAATAAACAACAAAAACAATATTATGCAACACGATGCAACAATATGAAACAAGTTACAACAAAAAGCAACATGATGCAACAAAAAAGATGCATACAATACAATAAAAAGAAACAAAAAGTAACATGATGCAACAAAAAATGCCTACAATACAACAAAAAGAAACAAAAAAGCAACATATAAAAATGTCACAATCATCATATAATACAATTTGTAACTTAATTTATTACATTAATCAACTATGTATTAGATTATTTGGCATTGATGCTTGACATTCGTTCTTCCTTTTATGCGTTTTAACACAATTCATCAGATTTATCTCCGTATCTTCATTTCCTTGTTGATCTTTTTAGCCTTATTATCATCTCCATGTACTTTTATGCATCTGCAATTAGAATGCAATCATTAAGACAAAAATCCAAAACCAATTATTATAATAACACAATGCACCTATAGAATTGATGCACCAAAATATATCCAAAAATATGATGGGAGGAATTTTAAAGATATCAAAATATGATGGCAAGAATATAACATGTTTATGTGGTCTGTTGACACCGAGATCTAAGCCATATTTCAACAAATTGAGCAAAGATTTCAATTTCTGAATAATGACCCCTTGACTAACTAAAACAATTTCCACCTGATCTTTCAATATAAGAGTGTCTGGGTTTCTACGCATTCCAGGGGCCCATTCATTAGTTTTGTGTAAATCATAGAACAATGTAAGAAAATGATTGAAACAACTCTTCTCTTTTTGTTTTACCTCAAAGTAGTAGTAAAAAATTATTAACTAGGAAACTAGCTTGTCAGAAAAAGATGTCAAATCGCATCATGTTTTTACCTCATTTTTTAATATTAGTCTGCAAAACTGTGTATCAAATTATGGAGAATAAATATATAAGAGTTCCAAACTGGGGAACCCAACAACACCAACAGCATCACCACGCTTCACAGAAGAATGGAGTTTAATGAAATCCTCCTCACTCAACTGAGATTCACCAGAGAAATAGATATCACAGGTTAATATTTAAGGGCATTAAAAAGTGAAGTAAATTTAGTGCAATATAAGTCTATGATACTAAAGTTGCAGCAGTGGAGATATCAAAAGTTACGTTTTCTTAAATGTAGCTTTTGGGTTCTATCTTCTAAAAAAACTTTTCTACTCTCAATCTCTGAAAAAATATATGAATCATTAAACACAAAGTACTCATATCACATTCTGTAGAAACACATCACTTGGTGATTCTAGACCAAACAAAAGGACCAAGCAACACACAAAAATAGCAGTTCGCTACTAGTTCTTAAATGAATAATGATGCTTACATGAGGAGTAATTGAAAACCGCATTAGTACCTTTCAAGCATAGATGTTGTTCACCCTTCAGAATATCAATGAAATTTCAATAAAGATTACAGCCCTAAGTATTAACAAAAGTTATATACAAAATTATGAAGTTTTGAATGCATTGGAACCTTGTAAAAAATTAAAAAAAAAATGAAATAGCAGAAAGGTAAACTATTTAGCTCAATCGAAACTAGATTTTGAATAGAAGAAAGTGATAGCTAATAAGATCTATGATAAAAATGCATATTACTGTTTTGCTCAGGTTTTCAAAGAATTCCATTGCACGCAGGAAATCTCTCTGTGGGAAGTCTTGTGATTGAAAATGCAAATTTTCATCAAAATCCTAAAAACGCTAGTAGGAACATACCATTTTGATAAGGAAGGATCAACCTGAGATTTTGAATTGTGAACTCTATAAGAAGAAAACTTGGAACTAAGCCAACAATAAGTTCAGCTAAAAATTAATTCAAAAAACTTAATCGGAAGCATAGTTCTAAAAACAAACAAATCAAGTAAGCAAATAAGTAGTAGTTACTCTGTAATTAAAAAAACTGCATACAATTAATATATCAAACACATATAACCTGTGTGAGAGGTGAAACCAAATCTATTTTTCTGTGAGAGGGAGCTGGTTTACTGTTTTTCTGGTCAAAATTCATCTCCGCCCACTGATACCGCCTACTTGAGTCTGCCCAGTGGAAATTCCGAAAGTTTCTGGTCCCATCATATTGTCCCAAGCTACGATTACACTGAACCTGAGAAGGGGATCCCCAAATTTGCCTATGCGGTGACCAAGACCGTATTGTATGACTTAGCATGACAACAACCTGTGTTCTGAGGAGTCGTCCGACCTTGGGAACCATATCAGCCTCCCTGCATGGTCATGGGGCTGTGATTCATCGCCTAGGAAACGCAGACGGCATCCTCACACCTCAGTATCCCCGCCGATCGGAGTGCATATTGGGGCCACAAGGATGAGAAGTGTGAAAATCAGTCCGCGTGAATCCAAACGCCCAACGAAAAAACTGCAATAGGAGATGATATTTCAAAATTAGGGAAACATAGAGAGCTCAATGATTAACAAAAGAGTAATGAATAAAATTAGAAGATTAACTCTGTTCTGCTTCTAAAAAGCTCTCACTTAGATGCGGGAGGAGGATCCGGACAGGAGGCCACTAGATGGATCGCTTGGCTACGTGACAGACACGGAGAAAAGGAATCCAAGCTAAACTCCATTGGCGAATGGAGACGAGAAAAACCAATCTCTAACTCTCTAAGCCTCCGTCAGCTCTCCCAGATTATTACACCAACGAGAAACGCAGAGAAACTAGCTGCGTCTCTCACATATTACAACGGTCTGAAGTGAAGAGGGGGTTGGCGAAACATGAAATTAAAAATCAAAAGTGAAAAAAGAGAAGTTAAAAGTGAAAAGAAAAAAGAGTGAAGACATAAAAGATATTCGGTATATAAAAGTGGACTGCACGGGTAATTTGCACGTTTTTTTACATGATCTATAAAACAAATATCCCATGGGCGGGGCCTCCCCTAATTACGCCCCTACATGCAGTACGTATACGATACGACCGGCCCACTATGAGTACAGTACACCAGCCACCAATAATACGTAGTTCTAGCAGTTGGCCTCATTATTTTTTATTTCTCTCTTTTTTTAAAATGGTAATAACTTTTTTATTTTTGATCCGATTTTTATAAAATTTATATCAGCATTTTTTATTTTTCATGATCTTTCAAATGAGACCAATATTGCCTATGTAATTTTAACATATTAACATTTGCGTGTACAAATATGTAAGTTTACGTGTTAAAATATGTAACTCATGTTCAGTCAGGCCAAATGCAACTCGTGTGTAAAAATATGTAACTCTACGTGTATAAATATGTAACTTTACGTGTAAATATATGTAACTCGCGTTCAGGCAGGTCAAATGCAACTCGTGTGTATATATATGTAACTTGCTTATAAAAAGATGTAACTCGTTCATAAAAAGATGTAACTCAATTATCAAATGTAACTGAGGCCACTGATCCACTCCCAAACAGATTCGATCTTCTATTTCACAAACTTATCGTCTCCCTGCAATTCATATGCAACTCATGTGTATATATATGTAACTTGCATGTAGAAATATGTAACTTTACGTGTAAAAATATGTAACTTCACGTATAAAAATATGTAACTCACATGTATAAATACATAATACAATAATTTTTTTATATACACAATTTTAAAATAAATTGTGATTTACACAATTATTTTTCTATATTAAATTTAGTTCGATTTTCTTTATAATCCAATACTCATTAATATAATAGTTCGATAATTTCTTAAAATTTCATAAGCAATATTGGTCTCATTTGAAAGATCATGAAAAATAAAAAATATTGATATAAATTTTATAAAAATCGGAGCAAAAATAAAAAAGTTATTATCATTTTTTGAATGAAACAAAAAAAAGAAAAAAAAGAAACAAGGCACTCCGTCGTTTTGAATGAAGCTTGCGTCGTTTTGCAACCGGGCGCACCATAGGATGGTGCGCCGGTTGCACGGTATAAATTGCGGCCTACATGGATCCTGGTGGTTGGTGCTCTGGTCGGGTTTATTTGCAAGCTTCACACAGTAATTAATATTCTGTTATTTTAGTTTGACATAATTTTTAGGGAAAATTATTGAAATGAGGTTATTACTTAAATATAAGTAATTACTTGAATATAAGTAATTACTATAAGGTGATTACTTAAATATAACTCGTTTAATCCTATTTAGGGCAATTTCTCTAATTTTTATTAAAGTGGTTGAAATGTAAAAATTATAATTGAGATTTACGTATCCGGGTATTACATAGAATAAAGTCAAATGATATGAATCACATATTTTGTTGCAAAAAATGAACCATGACATTCATTTTGGGAATACTCAACAAATAAAGAGGCCGTTTGGAACCACTGTTTTTCGGTTTATCAGGCTTATCAGCCAACCTTTTCATCAAATACGTAACTTTTGCTTTCGCGCGCTGAATTGTGTAATAAGCAGAAAAAGTAAGGTTGGAGTTACTTTTCTGGCTATTTTGGCTGAAATTACTGTAGATGATCATTTTAGCTACTTTTACATATAATTTTTTCTTTATTTGATTAATAAAATATATTTTAAAAATAATTTTTTCTTAAATCAGCAGAATCAGCCAATGCAGCCACTTCAGCCAGAACTTCATAAATTTCAGCAGAATCAGCCAAATCAGCCGATTTTCGTGCTACCAAACGGGCTCAAAGTAAGACAGTCAATAATTTATGGTAGATTTAATTCCATTTTTAGTCCTACCGAGTATTATATCAATTTCATAATTTTTTCATATCTTTTAATTTGAACACTTTTGATACATGGCTAGTGCCTTAGTGTATATATGATCCTTGTTTCAATATTCTTAATACTTAAAAGGGCAAAGTACGGAAAAGGTACTTGTGGTTGAGCTGGTTTTCCGATAGGGTCATGTGTTTCATATATTCTCTATCAAAGCGGTTCATGTGTTTTAATTCTGTTGTCACAAGAGGGTCACGCCGTTAAAAACGTCTGAAAAAGACCGTTAAAAGTAACTCCGGTTTTCAAAAGTGCCCGGAAAATTAAAAGACAAATATTGAAAGGTGCGTCTCGTCAAGATGACCTCCAAACCACCTTCTCCTTTGGATTTTTGAGATCTATTTGAATTATTTTTTTACAAAAGTTTTCGCTAATATCACTTTTCCGGTGGACTTTCCGGTGATAAGGGTGGCTTAAAACAAAAAAGAAAGATGATCTGGCGGTCGTCTTATTGAGGCGCACCTTCCAGTATTTTTCTTTTAATTTTTTGGGCACTTTTGGAAATCAGAGTTATTTTTAACAGTCTTTTTCATACATTTTTAACGGCATGACCCTCTTGTGATAACAGACAGAATTCAAACACATGAAACCCTTTGATAAAGAATAAAACACATGACCCTATCTGAAAACGGGCTCAATCACAAGTATTTTTTCCGTACTTTTACCTAATAAAAAGAACTTCAAATGCGTCAAAAATTGGATACAAGGATCACAAATGATCATAAGACATCAATAAGTATCAAAAGTGGACCAAGTAAAACACAAAAAGTAAAAGTAAAAATGACATAAAACTTGCTAGATCAAAAGTAGAATCAATTCTTCATGTTACATCAATTTATATTACCCCCCTCTCAACGCAAATTATGTAGTACAGCCGGTTGTACCATGCGCACGGTACAACCGGATATTTTAGTTTGTACTTAATGAGTATATAGTTCAAATGAAATGAGTAGTATTCAATTATAAAAGGGAAAATGGAAACTAATAATCCAATCTTTTAACGGTCTTCTTACAATAGTCCCACCTTTTGATTATTCATGAATAATCCCACATTTGCACCTCATCTTCATTCACTGGTTCCTGACCGGTTGATGACATGCTATTCTGATATGAACAGAAAAAATAAAATCAACGGGGTAAACCGTTGCCCGATAATCAACGATAAATAAATATCGTTGCCCAGAGCCAAAAGGCTAAACCACTTTTATTCCAAGATTATCAAGAATGAAGCATACAAGGGGTATAAATAACCCTCTAGGTCTAATAAGACTAGGAATCCTAATTAAATTAATCTAGGAAAATAAATAGAATAGGAAACCTCTAGTTCTAATAGAACTCCTAATTAAATCATTCTAGGAAACTAAATAAAAATAGGAAACCTCTAATTTTAATAAGAATAGAAGTCCTAAATAAATCCTACTAGGAAACAAATTAAATTAGGAAACAAAATAAAAGGAATAATAAATATTAATTAAACAGCCCGCAACCAGCCCACGAAGGTGGGATCAAGCCCGTCCCGCCTTCGGTAAACCCACGGGGGCTTCTGCCCCTCTTCTTCCAAGCCCACATTCTGCTTCATATCAATTCCACCCCCCTTCGAAAAAACCTTGTCCTCAAGGTTGAAATCCGGAAACCGGCTAACATTTGTTCCCGGTGGCTGCCCAGTATCTTTAGGAAAAATTGAGATGTACTCTTCCACAGTCCCTGTCTGCTTGCCTCCAGACAGCCGTTCAAAGCAATTGCCCTTAAACCGTGAGTCAAAACGAGCCACCAATGCTTGTGTAAGCTCATCCCATGACATGCCCGGCTTTCGTGCCCGTAACGAGGTCAACCGGTACAGGGCTGACCCTTCCATCACAACTAGAGTGGCTGCCACCTTCTTTCCCGGCGGAGTACAACTCAGTTCGATTTGATGCTCAGCCCTAGCAACCCAACCGATCGGGTCTTCTCCGTCAAACGAGGGCAGCGTCATGAGAGAAGTGTTGCACAATCCAGTTTCGAACGTGGATGTTGCTGCCGCGTCAAGTGAAGCCATCGCTGATGAATTCTCCTCCGCCGCTGGCGGCGTGAGAGCCTTTGTGAGCGCAGTCAAGGAGGAAGTGACGTTATGCGGCTGTCCGTCATTGCTGGGCGCAAATACGGTGGGGCTGCCAACCGCGTCAGGGCTTGTTTCTGTCGTGACTGGCGGAATGAACGCCTTGGTAAGCGCTGCCAGGGATGCGGCAATCTCTGCCAGATGCACGCCGTGCTCCTCTAGGGTTTGATTCATCCAAATTTGCTTGGTCACCATCTCTGACAAATGTTCACTGATAGATCTCGTCATTCCGGCGGGACGGGATCCGGCAGGTCGGACCAATTGATAAGAACAGAAAAATAAAATCAACGGAGTAACCCGTTGCCCAGAATAATCAACGGCTGGATCCGTTGCCCAGAGCTAAATAGCTAAAACCAATATTATTAATGCCTGATTTGAATAAGCCTAGGCAGGGGTTTATATAACCCTTACATCCAAAACTGAATAGGACACTAAATCCTAGTAAGAAACATAATAGGAGTCCTGATTAAATTATTCTAGGAAACCAAATGGAATAGGAAACCTCTAGTTCTAATAGAACTCCTAATTAAATCATTCTAGGAAACTAAATAGAAATAGGAAACCTCTAATTAATAGAAGTCCTAATTAAATCATACTAGGAAACAAAATAAATTAGGAAACAAAATAAATTAGGAAACAAAATAAAAAGAATAATTAAAATTAATTAAATTCCTCGCAGCCAGCCCACGAAGGTGGGCTCAAGCCCGTCCCGCCTTCGGTAAACCCACGGGGGCTTCTTCCCCTCTTCTTCCAAGCCTAGATTCTGCTTCATATCAATTGCAGCCACCGGGAACAAATGTTAGCCGGTTTCCGGATTTCAACCTTGAGGACAAGGTTTTTTCGAAGGGGGGTGGAATTGATATGAAGCAGAATGTGGGCTTGGAAGAAGAGGGGCAGAAGCCCCCGTGGG